ATTTACATTGCTAAAATGAATCAAAACTACTTTAACTAAGATCATCCGATTATAAGTTCTAATTAATATTTTTAATAAAAAATTAAAATACAAAAGTTGTCTAGAATCACGTATACATGCTTCTGCTCAAATTTTATAATTTATCGAGGTCGTTTACTATTTTTCAAGATGTACAAATCAATACAATTCACACTATACCAATAAACTCATAATTAAATTCTTTGTACCTTAACACCATCACTTCGGCCCTTCACTTCCGTCCTACAGATATCCCATGTGCCTCCCGTATACCTAACACTGCTTCGGAGCCAAACTTGCACGAGAATATCGTCCCGAGTTTGACCCATACTCCCCGGATGGTTAGCATATACGTACGCGCGTAAATCAAAGCACTTGTCTACTCATAAGAACGAGACAACAATATATATATACACAATCTCTCATCTACTCATGAGAACAAACATAACAATGCCATGCTTAAGGCATTTAAATAAATTTAATAATCCTCACTTTTTTTCTTATACACTTTTTCTCACCATCACTCAAATAAAACAATAATCTATGGAGTCATGATAGAATATAAGGAATTTATTTATAGGTTCCAAGTTTATTTTAATTTCATATAACCATAAGTGTGATTACAACTATAAAATAAATCCATATAAAAATCATAAACCTTGCATACACAATTAATCAAAATAATTAAAATCAATCTATCATCTACATGCAAAATACAAAATCAAACCAACATCAAATAAATAAAAACAACGAATTAAATATAAATTAAGGGAAGTGAGTTTTGCACTCATAATATTTTTTAAAGATCAAAGAAATATTTAAAGAACTAATAGAGTCACCAAAACAAAACCCTAACCCTTTCTTTCTTCTCCCGTCTCCTCTTTCTCCTCACTGCCTCTCTTTTCTTTGTTGATTAACCCTCTCTCTCTCTCGCTCTCCCCATGGCTGCTACTAACTTGAGGATTCTTCACCCATACCTTTATAATAATAACAACCTAGGTTTAAATAACCTAATAACATTATATAATAAATAACACATTAACATTATATTTTATTATATAAATGCAACTTATATAAATATAAATATGATATATATTTTGTCAATATATAAAACCTTTTTTTTTTTATAAACAATATAAATATATCAATATTTAGATTAATTACCTATAATTAAATAACACATTAAATTAATTAAACAACACATTAAATTCTCATGTAACCACGCAATTAATAAACTCAAAAATAAAATAAGGTAATAATAAATAATAATAAATAAATAATGACCTACGAAAAATTAAGGTCACTACACTAATTAGCAGAGAATAAGAAACAAATACAAAAATAACTAGAATCAAATTTATCTTTGAATTTGAACTAAGATGCATATATCAACATGAAACGAAAACACGTCAATTTGTCTAATTAGATCATAACACTTTCTCGTCTAACGATCAAACCAAAAACTAATTAGCAAAGAATTAAACAAAAAAGCTAACTAGAATAGAACTTTATCTTTTGTCTAATTAGATCATAACACTTCTAATTAGCAAAGAATGAGACAAAAAAAAGCTAACTAGTATCGAATTTATAACAGTAAAATACAAATGAAATCAAGCAGAACATTACTTCAATTGCCTAACACTGAGAATGCGATGCTCGAGAAAATCATGGATGGTTGGAGAAAATTGAATAAGGGATCCAGATCGTGAGGTGTTGTTCAAAATAAAGATATAATGGCAGGAAAATATTGAGGTTGGTGATTGGAATTTGCATTATGGACAACTAATAATCACTAGCAAGAAGAGATGAGATATCCACAATCAGATTTTTTTTTTTTTTTTTTTGAACAATATCCACAACCAGATTGCTGAAGCAGAAAGTGCAAAAGGTGTGAAAGTGGGCTATCAAAAATTTAGCTTAAAAGTAAAGAAAAACCATTTCAATGTCAAATTCCAATCTGCTAAAAAATGGATTTCACCTAAAACTCGATATAGATAGGAAACTATGAGTGGGAAACAAAACACAAGCCAAAAACAAGAACAAGAAAAACCCTAGAGAAGTAGAAAAATAATATGTAGTTTGAGTAGGGAATTTAAGCAAACATGTGAAAAGCATTGTAAAAAACACACAACCAAAATACAAGATTAATAAAACCCCATTTCATATTTTGAATCCATGAATCAAGATCATCATATCATAAAAAAAAATTCAAAATTCCAGTCATTCGTCAATGGCGGTGGTTGGGTCGATTTGGGAGTGGGTTAGTGTGAAGGAATGCGAAAAAAACCCTAGAGGCTGAAATTGGGGGAAAAGAGATAGAGATATAGAGATACACACACAGAGCAAAATATAAAGAACATACCTGGGGGTAGTGCTCCGATGGTGGATCGTGCTGCGAGATAAGAAGAGAATGGTTGCTAGTTTGCGATGGTGATATCAATGGCAGTGGTAGTCATCGAGGCAGTTGTGAGCAGCGGTGGCCATGTAATGATGTGCAACGATGAGCGACGGTGAAAGATTAACGAACGCTATGTGGTCTTGTGCAACATTGAGATAAGCGATGGTGGCTTCGACATTGATGCTCTACAAATTTGAGCTCTTGCTAGCGTGATGGGAGTGATTCTGAGTCGTATGAAGAGGGAAGATGGAAGATGCAGATGGAGAGAGAGAAAGGCAACAAGGATATGATGAAATTTGGGGATTTTGGGCACCAAGGGTTTCAGGAAAAGGAGCTTTTTGTTTTTGTTTTGTTTTGTTTTTTTTTTTTTATAATTTTAGTGACGAGAGTTATAATCATGGTATGGCCACGGCCAAAAAAAAAAAAAAAACTATTTGCCACAGCAAGAAAAAGTAGTCGCAAAAAATAGGTCTTTCGTGACGGCTAGTGGTTTGTCATCGCAAAAATCATCCAACATACCTTTCTCTCTTTTTGAGATAGTAATTTCTGTCGCAAAAAAACTTCATTAGCGACGGGAATTAACCGTTGCAAAAAGTTACTTTTTGCGACGACATAATTTTCCGTCACAAAAGATTCCGTGTCTCCTACCCCATTTTCTAGTAGTGAGCTTAGGGTTTTTATTTATTAATTACTCTCCTTTCTTTTAATTTATTTTATTACTCTTTCCAATAATTAAAATAAAATATAATTATAAAATCAAAATATATTTATTAATTTGTCAATTTTTTCTTTGAAAATAATAAAAATAAAATTTTAGACGAATTACACTTACATTCCCTATAGTTTGGGCCTGGTGTCACTTTAACCCTTAACTTTTTAATTGTGACACATTTAACTATGAATTTTGAATTTTGTTTTAAATAAGGACAATTAAAGATACCACTGCTCAATTTCAAAAGTAAAGTCGTCAATTTGATAAACTAAAAACTAATTTGACAAAAATAAATGTTAAAAAAGTATTTTGTGAATTTTTAAAAATTATTTCTATCCATTAAAGATAAAATTATGTAAAATTGATAAATATTTTAGATAAATAAATCTTAACAACCACCCATTACATGATGATGATCATCTAAATACATAATAAAAATTAATAAATAAATGTCTAAAAGATTTATCAATTTTACATAATTTTATCTTTGATGGGTAAAAATTATTTTTAAAAATTCAAAAATATTTTTTTAATATTTATTTTTGTCAAATTAATTTATATTTTATTGAATTGACAATTTTGTCCTTAAAATTGAGTAATGATATCTTCAATTGTTCTTATTTAGAACAATATTAAAAGTCAGGATTAAATGTGTCATAATTGAAAAGTTAGAAATTAAAGTGATACGAGCCCCAAATTATAGGGACTGTTAATTAAAACTTAAGATTTTCAAACAAAAACTAATGTCTCGTTTGAGAACAAATTATTTTAATAATTTTTTAATTTTTATAAAAATGTATACAAAGAAATAAAAAAAATAATATGATAATTTATAATAACTTTTTAATTTTTTAATTAAAATATATAATTTTGACTTTAAATTTTTAAATTTGTGTCAATTAAGGACAACCAGCGACGGTTGTGAGTTTTTGATGAAAATTGATCACGTGCATGACACATGACCATGTCTCAAGGGCAAAATTGTCTATTTATTCACATTTCTTTATTTCAACCAATTATATTCACTTATTTTGAAGTTCCAATACATTCAACCACACCAAATCAATACTTTTTCACCCAAACCAGACAGCAGAGCTGCCAAAATTTTGTTCGGTCAACGCCATGCACAATCTCTTTTCTCCATCGCTACCTCAATCTCTTTCCCAGCCTTCGCCTCTGCTCCCTTCTCTAGACTCCATCACTGCCTCCATTTGTTCTTCCATTTTTTGTTTCGTTTGGAATTCTTCATTAATATAGACACAACATAGAAAAAAATTTATGGAGTTCTTCACTACTATTTTGCTTCTTGTCCTCCATTCCTGTTACATTTTTATTTTTTTTTGGGTAAATTACACTTTACCTGCTGAAAACAAAAATCGAGCCACTCTCGAGCCACAAGATTCGAGCTACGAATCACTGCCGTATTAGTTAATACAACAATTTCGTTAACGGATTTGATGGTTTGAATAACGGGAAGCTAGTATACTTTACTCTTAATTTTGTTAATAAGCATCAAAAGTAAAAATAAATAAATAAAATTAAAATTCTAATATATAAATTTTAAATGTTTTTATATATTTTAAAAAACATTTCAAAACAAGGACTTACAAACTTTTCTTTTTTTGAAAAAAAAAAAATATATATGTACATAAATCATGTGTAGGGCCGACAAATACATAGAGTATCCAAATAAAGGGAAGCATACATCAAAATTAACCCCGGTTAAAACACTATCTAACCCCGGTCACCTCAACCATATCCTTTCCATATCAACTCTCCCTCGTTTGCACACGTGTCCATCATCAACGTCCCAGATCAACCTTAATCCCCCCTCCTAATCCCCTATATAAACTCGTCTCCGTCGCCTTAAACCCTATGCAATTTTAGTTGACGAAGTCAGAGAGAGAGAAAAAAAAAAACATCAGAGGTCTGCAACGATGGCAAACCCTATAGTCTTCTTCGAGATGGCGATCGGAGGCAACGGCGTGGGCCGAATCGTGATGGAGCTCTACGCCGACACAACTCCTCGCACTGCTGAGAACTTCCGAGCTCTCTGCACCGGCGAGAAGGGCGTTGGCAAGAGCGGCAAGCCTTTGCACTTCAAGGGATCGTGCTTTCACCGTGTGATCCCCGGATTCATGTGCCAGGGCGGCGATTTCACTGCCGGAAACGGTACCGGCGGCGAATCGATCTATGGAGCTAAGTTCGCCGATGAGAACTTCATCAGGAAGCATACTGGTCCTGGAGTGCTTTCCATGGCAAACGCTGGTCCTGGAACTAATGGATCTCAGTTCTTCATCTGTACTGCGAAGACTGAGTGGCTTGATGGAAAGCATGTTGTGTTTGGGAGAATTGTGGAGGGAATGGATGTTGTGAAGGCGATCGAGAAGGTCGGATCGAGCTCTGGAAGGACCTCGAAGACCGTTACGATCGCTGATTGCGGTCAGATTTCTTAAAAACTGGAACTCAAATCTGTGATCTGATCTGATCTGATCTGATCAGATCGATTTGAGGAGTGTTTATCTATCTAGGGTTTCTGGTTTGGAAATTTACGCTTTTGTCTTGTGTGCTGGTTCAATGGAGGCTTTTTTATGTAGTTTTAAACAAAGTGCTCCTCTTAAAATAAGAAAGGTTTACTTCGTCTTCTACATCGATATTTTGATTCTATAGTTATTCGTCTTCGAATTGAGTTCTGTGAATGTGATCGTTTGGTTCTTTGTTTGTATTTAATATTTTGTGAAGGTCGATTCGATGTTTAGGGCCATTTGATTCAATTTTTTGTTTAGGTTGTGTTTGGTTGGGGAATTTGGAGGGAATTTTGGAGAAAGATTTGGAAAGTGAAAGTGAAAGTGAAAGGGAAAGTGAAAAAGAAAATATGAGTTAAATTATGTGAAATATAAGGATATTTTATTTATATTTTTTATTTTATTTTATTTTCTAAATTTCTCTTCTCAAATCTTCCAACTAAATACATCATTAAAGAATTGGTTTTCGAGTCATTATCAGGGAAAGATGGGAAAGGGAGTATTTTGTTTTTTGAAAAAAAAAAAAAAAAAAAAAACGTAGCTTTGTTGATTACTCCCGTTTTTGGAGGAAAAAAAACTATTTTTTTTTTGAATTTTTCTTTATCTATAGTGTTTTAAAAAGTTATGTTAAAATTTTTTAATCTTGTCGAGGCATATTTAAAAAGTATATTTTTTAATAAAAAAAATTATTAAAAATGAAAATTAATTAAAAAATTTAAATTTCATTTGATAAGCTTATCAAATTATAATTTCATCAATTAATTTGAATGTGATGTTTATTTTAAACTTTTAAATCATAATTTTATACTTATTTTTTAAAATTCAATTCGAAACGTAATTATTATTTTTTAAAATTTATAATCAAACATATAATTTAATTTTTTTTAAAATTTAATTTAAATTAATATTTTAATTTTTAAAATATTCTAAATATTTAAATATTTTAAAAATATTTTAATTTTGTATATTATGTGGGTCTCATATATTTTGATAAAATATATTCTTAATATTACTTAGCCTTAGTTTGGTAAATATATTGGAACTACATACGCACATAAGGACAAAGAAAAGGTCACAAAATTATAAAATGATAAAATATTTAATTTTTGATGTAAAATTATCAAATTGATCTATATACAAACAAAAAATCAAAAAAATATCATTTTCAGGTAATAAGTAAAAAATTAAAATAAATATTCAAAAATTTAAGTCTTAAAAATTTAAATAACGTAAATATTAAAAAATTTAAATAATTTAAAATGTTAATATTTTAAATTTAAAAACAACCTACACTTAAATCGTAACCAAACATTTAAAACAAAACCCAATGAAGAAATTATTTTTAAAACTCATAACCAAACACATAACTTAAAACTTTATACTATTTTTACAATTTTACACTAAAATCGTAACTAAATACATAACAAAAAAATTAAAATATTTAAAAATATTTTTATAAAATAGAGATTAGAATTTATTTTTATAAAATATTTTGAAATTTAAAAATTAAAATCATAATATTCTGAAATTAAAATATTTAAAAATATTAAAAAAATATAACATATTTAAATATTAAAAATTTTAACAAAATTAAAATATTTTTAAAATATTTAAATATTTAGAATATTTTAAAAATTAAAATATTAATTTAAATTAAATTTTAAAAAAAATTAAATTATATGTTTGGTTATTAATTTTAAAAAATAATAATTACGTTTCGAATTGAATTTTAAAAAATAAGTATAAAATTATGATTTAAAATTTAAAATAAACATCACATTCAAATTAATTGATGAAATTATAATTTGATAAGCTTATCAAATGAAATTTAAATTTTTTAATTAATTTTCATTTTTAATAATTTTTTTATTAAAAAATATACTTTTTTAATATGCCTCGACAAGATTAAAAAATTTTAACATAACTTTTTAAAACACTATAGATAAAGAAAAATTCAAAAAAAAAATAGTTTTTTTTCCTCCAAAAACGGGAGTAATCAACAAAGCTACGTTTTTTTTTTTTTTTTTTTTTTTTCAAAAAACAAAATACTCCCTTTCCCATCTTTCCCTGATAATGACTCGAAAACCAATTCTTTAATGATGTATTTAGTTGGAAGATTTGAGAAGAGAAATTTAGAAAATAAAATAAAATAAAAAATATAAATAAAATATCCTTATATTTCACATAATTTAACTCATATTTTCTTTTTTCACTTTCCCTTTCACTTTCACTTTCACTTTCCAAATCTTTCTCCAAAATTCCCTCCAAATTCCCCAACCAAACACAACCTAAACAAAAAATTGAATCAAATGGCCCTAAACATCGAATCGACTTCACAAAATATTAAATACAAACAAAGAACCAAACGATCACATTC